CCACACTTCAGCAAAAAATGTTTGATGTGAGTTGTGTAATAAGTTGCATATAGTTTTGTGGATTTCAGAAGAGTTTTCTGAACTTTATAGAAAGTAAATATCTTCACATGAATTGGTGTTATTCCTGCATTCGTTACTGTAACAGGGTTTTATAGGTCACTTTAAAAATAATTATTAAAGAAAGGTTAGTTCTCTGTTCTTCTGAGCCTATGACAACCCAAATTAACTGGGGTGACATAAATGTTCCTGCTTATCTGATTTGACGTTTGGTTTGTGATTTGAGGGTTTTGCTTTAAGCCATGATGTATGCCAGACAAAACAATGCTAATTCTGTTGGCAATCTGAAAAGATGACACTGAGCTCCTTTGTAGTCAGATATGATTTATCTTAAATCATAATTCTTGAATGAGACTCTTGTGAGGACGGAGAACTCCTATTTTCCTATTCATGTGTCCCTTCAAAGCATTTTTGTTTGTGTTTGGATGACTGGTAGTCAGTTTAACTTCGGAAATGCACGTTAGGTATTCCCTCTCAAAGTTGTTCCTCCTTCAGTGCAGTGTTCTCACTGTTAATTCTCACTGCTGTTCTCACTCTTCTCAACACAGTCATAGCAATGCTCTGATCTCATACTATTTTCACTATTTAATTGATTTTTTTTTTTAATAAGGAGTTCTGAAAAGTGGGATTTTAAGAAAAGATTAAGCACGTGCAATGTGTACTTCATGGGAAAACTTGTTCATCTCTGTCTTATCTACTATTCTGTCTCTATCAAAAATAAATTCTTTACAAATTTATCTTCTGCTTAACAATGCAGTGGATGGTAATCTCTGGATCTTAACTCCGAAATTGACCGAGGCATAAATCTAGATTGCTGCGTAGTGATGAGTTCTATTAGCTATAAACAGCAGGTTTGTCAAGTTTTATCTTTTTAGGGCTTGTATTCAGAAAATATGAGCTCCACAGACTGTAGTTATAATAGCTCTAATTACAGGTATAGCCATAAAGAATCTGGGCAGGATTCTTGCTCTTAAAGAACTAGGAATTAGTATTTGTCAGCTGGCTGAGCTCCCATGTCACCTGTCCCTTTTAATTACGTCACCTATCAGGCTTCTGGCCAGCTCAGCTAAGCCGGACATGCGTGGCCACACACGGTGGTGGCCCTTGCTGCTTCTTGCTGCCCAGTTCCATAGTGACTAATGTGCAATGAATCGGCAACTTTGTACTCATTAGGCTAATTAACTTCCTTCCAGATAGATGTTGTATGCAATGCAAAACAACACTGTGCTTCTTGAAAGATGTATTATAGACATTTCAAACTTTTCTAAACCACTTTCTCTTAGTCCTTCTCTGCCGCTAGAATTAAAAGCTTTTGACTCTGCACTAAGGTGACATTCACCCGGAAGGAAACTGTGCATTCAGAGACTATTCAAGAAAAATAGAGAAGGCTGAACCCAGGGGTCTAGGCTTTTGGTATAAAGGCTTAGTATCCACCAGGTATTAAAATAACTTGCTGTCAAAGGGCTTATCTGTTACTCTCAATTGATTTTTCTGTTGGGTTTTTTCTTATCAGCATCATCACCAGGGTTTTTTTTTGTGTGTGCTGGTTTTGGTGACAAAAATCTCAGCAAGGATTTTAACACTTTTGATAAATGCATAGCTTTATATCCCACACCAGTCATGCAGATGCATGTCTTCATTTGGAATAACTTAAAATCCTTTGCATTGGCTACATAAGGAAGGTTGCTCTCAGTTGTGGTTAGGATTGCAGTGGTGGAGGGATGTTGATACTGGTGGTTGCAACACTAACATCACACACTTCCTAGAGGTCTACCTAAAAGAAACACTCTCCTTGCAATATTTTTGGGATCAGGAGCATTGTTAGCACGTTCCTATGTTTCCTGATGAGCTGTCTCTACTATACACATATGTTATTTCTTTCAGTGTGGTTTTTGATAGGTGTGTACTGGGCACCTAGCGGGTTGTTAGACTTTATTCCTCCTGTGGTGTTCTGTGGTAACTCTACAGCTGAAATAGCAGGGCGCAAGCAGTGAGGCCCTGAACCAAAGTTCACCTCTGGATGAACCTCACAACCTAACAATATAACTAATATGTATAATATTGATCACATACAGAATGTATTCTTACGAATATATGCCAATTTATAAAAGCATTGCTGTAACGCCTGCTGTGTCAGGTCAGTCAGCAGAAAGGTGCTGGTTGTGTGACAGCAGCCACGCTTGTTAAAACGGATGTGACCATCGCAACCAACATCTACGTAAAAGAATGTGGCAGGGCCATGACAGGCTTTGTTGGGAGATAGATAATCAGGATTACCAGATGCTTTTACTCTTGTTAACTTCCTTCTGCTGCTCTGGCTAAACTCAAGACAAAAGTTAACAAGGGGAAAACCACACCAGATGTTTTTTGCAGTTTGAGATGTAAAGTTCTTTGTTCAACTGTATAAAAGCAGGGAATGTTTGCAGGGAAATTTGGAAACCTCATCTATATGGTGGACACACTGTATAGAAATCTCCCAGTTGTCGGGAAGGGTTCTCCAAATCCCCACTGCAGCTGGGCTCCCCAGCGACTGTGGATCTGGATGATGGTAACGTATTCATAGGGCAGTTGGTGATGGATCTTTCTTAATCACTATTGCTAACTCTTTGTAGTAATGATTAGATGCATTACCTTATTTTATGCTTGCTAGAGTAGTTCGCTTATTATTTCACTGCTTTACCTTATCTCACTTTGATTTATTTTCACTGTATTATTTTCCTCATTATTTTATCACTTTAAACATAAGCAAAAATAAGCTTACTTCTTTGGTGCCTGTGTCCTGTGTGGTAACCCCATCGATTAATGCATTTTATAATGAACTTTTGACCATACCTTCCTAGTGCTGCAGAATCCTGTGATATTATTTTCATGCATTAGCAAAGTGAAATTTGTCTTAACGTATATATTAGTAATTAAGAACTTTCTCCCAAAAAATTGGATTCAAGACATCGAAAGCATAGTCTTGCAGTTTGTCCACCTTCACAGCCATGTGGGCTGTGCTCTGATCTCGTTTTAATACCTATTATGCTGTAGATAATGTGTGCTTATACAAAATATTATTCCTGTAGGAATAACTGTGGCTGTATCAGTGGTTAGAAGTCAGATTATTTTAGTGAGATTGCCTAGCAAATACCAACTTTGTGGGTGCTTTTTTGACGTAATTCATTTAGACTAGGTAATTTTGAAACAAATGCCTATTAAAAGCAAGCTAACCACAACTTCTTTTAGCAGTTACATTTCATGGAAATATAAGTCTGCCAATAGGTAAGGAGCTGTGGGAGTGAAAACGTTGACATGAGCTGAATTAGTTAATCCTGTGCACTTCAGTTTGGAGGTACGAGAGGCAAAACCTATGAAATTGTATTCCAAACCAGATGAGGACTCTTATTTTGGTTTCAGCAACCCTACAGTAAGTTAAGTGAAGAAGAAAAACAAACATCTCCAAACTATTCCTGCAGCTTCATAAGAAAATTTTTGCATATAAATAAAAAAACCCATTTTGATCACTATACCTGTATGGTAAGAACTAAAAAAATGTTATACCTCAAGGTATGAGAAGTCATCATTGCACTGGATGACAAATATTATTTAATAGACCTTTTCAGTCTAAAAATCCCTACTGTATGAATGGAACAGAGTGGAGCAGGGGGCGTGGGACTCTATGGCAAGGAAGTTTAAAGCAGACACTTCAGTCCAAAGTGCTGTGGAGGAAGTCTTCTGACGTAAGTGCTGCATTGTGGGCTTAGCTATAGCCTGCTGGCTTGGTGTAACTCATCAGTTGTGTGTTTTGTCAGAAATGATGCTCATTAAGGTGGGATTAGCACTATGCTCTGTTCTCCTCAGTGTGTGTTTGTATTCACATTATCGTTGTTGAAAAAAAATTGTTAAAAAGCATTATGTTGGACAAGCTGCTTAATTTTTTTTAAGTGATCTGTGTTCCTTCGTTACACAGTGAGACTAAGAATAAGGGATTTTGAGAACTGTTAAACAATCAAAAAACAATGGTGAAAATAAAAAATACCATCTTTGAAAATGCAGAGCAGGGTCTGGATATCACATGACAAACAAAGAAGGATTTTGAGCAGTTATTGAATAAGAGTGTTCATTGCTGTTGCCTTGAATATGGTGGGATACTTCAGAAAACAATAGCTGGGCCATTACTTAGGTTATTGTGACAAAGTCACAGAAAGCATAAATTGCCTGTTTGTACACTCTGGTTTCTGCCAGCTTTTTTAATGAAAGGTTTGAGGATACCTTCATCTTGCAAACTAGCACAGCTTGTTTATTCTGTATTTTTGAAATCAATGTTCCCTGAATAGATAGGGTTTTTAAAGTCCTTATTTTTAATGGAGGTTAAATTACATTCTGGCTTGTGATGTTCCTAACTTAAGTGTAGGGATTATTACTCGGCATGGCATCTTTCTAAATTTAGAACATATTTTAAATGTATTAATTAATAGCGATGTAGTTCAAGTTTCCTGTAATATTAATTTAGAAGGGCCATAGTAATGTTGTCACTAAGGGACTTAATTTTAACTTAAAATTCTTTCATTTCAGAGGGAAATTTGCAGTGGTGAAGAAGTGTATCGAGAAAGACACTGAAAGAGAGTTTGCAGCAAAATTCATGAGAAAAAGAAGAAAGGGCCAAGACTGTCGGATGGAAATAATTCATGAAATTGCAGTCCTTGAGCTGGCGCAGTGCAACCTTTGGGTCATTAACTTGCATGAAGTTTATGAAACTGCAACAGAGATTATTTTAGTCTTGGAATAGTAAGTAGTAGTAATAATTCCTCAATAACCTTCTGCAGTATTTGCTTAAAACTAATAATGTAAAAATACTGTGTGTAAATATGAATAATGTGAAAAGGTTTTATTGCTTGCCTGTAACACATGCTTGAGTTCAAAAAGAATTGCTAAGAAGATCAGTATTACGAAAAGTTATGTGCAGTCTTGTAATGACTGCAGATTATAATAAATTTTTCCAATTATGTAGTGTCTTTCAAAGCTGAACTATAATTTATGTAGTCAGAAAAATCTTTAGTGAAATATGAACTGTGTTTGCTCTCTACTTGTAAAAGAGGAAAGAAGCAATGAGTATCTGTTCAAAAACTGAAGTTTATTTCATTGATAGTGACAAAGGTGGGGTGAAATCTGTTTGGATTTTTTTACCAGTTATGAAGAAGGTAATGTCATTGTTAAAAACAAACTATCAAAACCCCCTATGATCTACCATGAAAAACTCTCTAGATAATTATTTTTTGGGGGAAGAAAAAGAGTAGAAGGATTCAGACCTAGAACAGTTTATTTCAAATGACGTTTAACTTGTGACTCTGTATTTGTGTGTTTTTCCCCCCTTGAGTTTGTCCAGATGGGTGTTCCTGCAGCTGTTGTGGCTGTTCACCTAAAATGCCAGTGGCTTAGATATTTGACATCTAGGTTCCAAGAGGCAGCCAAATGCTCGTTGCTATTCAACTCTGAGATCCTGTTCAAACTCTGGATTTTAAATAATTAGGAGAGGAGCAGTGAAGCTCAATAGTTCAGAAGTGACTTAACCTGCCTGATAAGATAAAACTAGTTTGTACAGCTCTTTTCTTGCTCGATAACAACGTGAAATGGTGACAAATCTTGTGTCACAATCTGATCTTGTTTAGAAGTAAAAAGAAACTATATCTTTAAAGTTCAGTGAAATGGAATGAGACTGTGCCTGCTAAGGTAAACTTCCTTCTAGAATACATTTTTTTTCAACTTCATTGTGCCCTTCTGGAATTAATGATTCATGAAATATTCAAGTATCTGTTATAATGTAAAGGTGTGACAGAGCTTCTGGAGTTGTAACTGCTGTTATTGGGGACTCATAAATACCTGCTTTAAACAGTAGCAGCACAGATCTTACTAGAATACAGTTTAAATTTCTGGATCCCGTAGGGATATAACAGAAGTGGTAGAATACAAACCTCAAGATGAGCAATGGGTTTTGTGGTAGTTTTAATGTAAAATTGCTAGTTTTCTTTTAGAACTCAATTCTGTTACACCTGCAAAACATTTTTAATCCAAAGTATTAACTAGGTTATTCAGTAGTCACCAAGTTGTTCAGTAATTAGCAACATTATGCATCAAACACTCATACCTTGTTTCAGATAAATAGCTGTGTGTTAGAGTTTTAAATTACAAAAACAGTCTTTTCCTGACTTCAGCAAATATGCCTGGATGCTTGAATGTCAGCATGTTCCAGAGGCATGTTGTAACAAAACAGGTATGAATGTTAGTGAATTTCTGCCATTCTGTATGCAGAGGATTAAAGAACATACCTAGACTGCAAGCTTCTCTAGGGCATTTCAGTTTCTATTAAGCTTGATGGTCTGTGTAGCAGATGTCTGTCTTGGGAAGGAGAAAAACAAATACTTAATTGACAGCCACTAACTATCTGCTAAGGTTTTAAAGTGTCTTGTCTTGATGTTGAATCTGTCATAGGGGTGAGGGGGACACCTAGTGCTTTGCCTTCATGAAGAGAAACACTAATGTTACATGGAGAATTGTCTTTTAAGCAGTATCGATTTTTGACAGACAAAAACCTTGATATTCACCACTAACGGTTAATATTAAGTGCTCAGCAGTGGGATGCAGTGAGGCATTACGGTGTTGGCTTCCGCTATAGGATGGCAAGTTGGTGGCTGTCTGTATGCACCCTGACAACAGTCTCCAACTTCTGTTTGTTGGCCCAAGACCTCAAACAGAGGATTTAAGTAGGAGTTGAAAGGGTACATAAGTCTGAAGGGGTGCTATGTGAAGCCTAGAATACATCTGTGGGTCAGTGATGTTTTTGTATTTCAGTGAAAATGGAATTAATTAAAAAGAAAACAGGACCTCTTCTGAAAAAGACAGAGATACAGTCTGGGAAACCTGGCACATCAAGTTTAAAAGGAGAAAAGCAAATTTGATAACTTTTGGCCTCAATATTTGTATGCATCCTACTTGGCTTTTTCCCATTTCTTTTGAAAGGAAGTGCAACAGAGCATCTGATGCTTAAGAAATGGTGTTTTTACAAGTGTTCATCACTGCATGTTTATACATCTGTGGAAGGGATATATGATATTAGTGTGTCATTAGTAGGTCAGATATTACAGAAACCTGTATGTGTAACTTCAAATCTAAACCATTAAGTATTTTTTTGTGAAGAGCTTCTGAACTGAGTGATTTTTCTGCCAGGGTCTTGTGTAGATATAGTAGACTTTTATTATGCTTATTTTAAAAAAAGTTGTGTTTATCATCCTGAAGAGATAGTCAGGGTTTATTTGATAAGCTGGATGAAGTGCTTTTTTTCACCTGTAGTTATTGGGACCTGGATAATGTTTCTCCTTGTATTGTCTTGGACATTACTTATCCTATTTAGTGGAGGTGTGACTGGTTAGAGTCTGCTGTCAGGAAATGATTTGGCATAGGATTCAACAGATAGAACTTGAAGCCAAATCAGTGTAACCAGAAATAACTGTGCTGCTCCAATGTTTGCATCCTGTCTATTAGAGCAATTAACAAAGTTGTTCTAGATGTAAGTCTTAAATCAAGACTGGAGCCCTTCAAAAAGTTTTAGGGGAAGGCTTCTTAATGGCGTTAGTTACCTTTTGTTTGTGTTTCAGTTCTTGGGCTGTCTGATGGGAAGAGTTAAGGCCAAAAGAAAAAAAGATGCCTTTGTGTGAGAACCAAGAACTTAAAGGAACAGTAGCTACAACTTAATGCGTTTGGATGCTTCTCTTCCTATATGTCCTCTCATCAGATATGGATTTACAGTCTTCTCGGGCTTTGGGGACATCGGTGTGTTATGGTAGCCTTACACTTGAAAAATTCTCAGTAAATTTACTTGCTTGTTTACTATCTAATGGTAGGCCTAGCCAAGGAAAGGAGGTATGACAGTCAGCAGTAGTGAACATGAACCTTTGGTGATAGTGTTACAACCACCTTGGTGTGATCTTCCTGTAATATAAGCTCTGGGTACAGAAAGCAGATGAGTTGCCATTTATCTTCCAGAGATAACCCTTTCCAGAAAGGCTTTTGACAGAACATAAGATTTAAGAGGTAAATTTTTGGCCCTTGCAGACTGTATATGGTCTTGCTCAGCATTTGAAACCAAGTGTATTCTAGGAACTTGTTATCTACATATCTGTGCTCTGAGGATTTGTTCTTCTGGGTCTTTCAAAAGACTATCTTAAGGTCTGATCCATTAAAGCGGGGGGAATGTTTAATTTTTTCAGATGCTCTGAAATAGATTTTTTCAGTCTTTTTCTAATGATATGCTAAATGACTGTGTTAGTGTCTTGTAAGTGCACTTGAAAGAAGTAGGAAGCTGAATCCCGTACAGTGCATTGATAAGATATGTTAGAAGGAAGATAAGCAGTCTCCATTGAATTTAAAGTCAACAAGATTAAGGCTTTGGACTTCCAACTGACTTTTAGCTCATTTATGCTGATAAGCAGTAAAAAAATGTTAGCATGCTTTCCATTGATGAAGAACAGTTGGATTTCACTTGAAACTATAGAGGAGTTAATAGCACAACACTGCACAGGGAGTGTGTACTAGAGAAATAATGCATTCTAAGTGACACTGGATTTCAAAATGCTGTGCTCTTAAATATTTCCTTATCAATTTTTTTTTCAGATTAAGATGCCTTGTTTTCCTAAAGACTTTCTTGTCCTGAGGACAATTCTTTTTTTGTATCCCCTAGGAACGTTTTCTGTGGAGATGGGTGGCAGTGCCCAGTGGTTTGCAAAGTTATTTCAAAATGACCATTAGAAAAGCTATAGCTTAACAGAAAATGTGTTCTTAGAGGAAAAATGGGTAAATATTATAAACACCAGAGAACTCCTCATCTCCCTGTATACAGAAATCCTAGCAATGATGTGCTCATGAGACTTTCCTACTACGTATTTTAATCCCTTCTGTGTTTTGATTTTTTTTTTCCCCCCAAACTCTAGCTCAGGAATATTGAAAGTACTGTTAAGTAGCTTGGCAAAACTTGGCATAGATGTGCAGGAGAATCTTTTAGGAGTTGATTTTGACACTGTACTTTCAACCACTGGTGGCTGGGTTGGCTCACAGCTAGCTGACTGTGCTTAAGGGAATCAAGCTCACTTCACAGCAACAACACACAAAACGGTTTTGCAGTAACAAATTTCCCTGTGTTCTTGTAAAAGGTTGCTAGTCACTAGTTTAAACGTGGTCATTTTTTGATTAAATGAATTGGCTGCAAGAAGTTATTCTATCTGCATCCTAAATAGCAAAGTTGATTGAAGAAATGAAAGATTGCATGTGAAACTTAAGTGTAGTATTAAAATTCTAGGTAGCATACATTTTAGCTCGGTGCCTACTTCAATGTTAATTTGTTTATTAGTGTGACTTAATTGTAGCAGATGTCTGCCAACTAGACCCAGAGCAAACAGGGCTTTATAAGGCCCCCTCTGCTGAGTTTTCATCTGGGTCTATTAAAAATGAAGCATCATTTCTGGCTGACAACAGCAATTTTAAGGATAAATCCTATTTCACATAGAATTAAGTAGCAGAAGTACTGTTTTGCTTATTTTAAGTGTCAGAGCTGTAACAGCAAAATCGCGGGGTTGTTGCTGTAAAACACATTGTGTTAGTAATTTTGGTAGCTGATCTTATCACGGTGTGTGTATTATAATTTACTGCTACAAGGAATTAGATCATTCTTCCCAGTAACATATTATGGCATTCTTAAAGTAGAAAGCTTTAATTTATGGATTACAGTAGACATTTTTTTATCCCTGTCTTGAAGATCTAATTGATGTTGCTTTTTCAAAGAATTTGTCTTTAAAATATTAGAATTTACTATCCAGTGTAAATTTTTTAAATGTCATTAGTACCTGAATCCTAGTCACAGATGAAATGTTACTAACTTTTTCATTGAATTAAATAAAAATGTGCTGAAGAAAGATGTGCTTAAAGTGTCAGGCATATACACTTTTTCTATAGGAATTAAAGTACTGATACTCCTTTGAAAACTCATTTTATTCTTGAGTTCTATTATCTTTGTTATCGGATGAAGAAAAATAATTATTTAATGGACTTCTCATTTTTAAAGTAAAATCTTAGTTTTTAAAAAATCAAACTGTAGTTCTGCACCAGTACACCAGCATATAGAACAGAAATATAACACACGTTAGAAAAAGTTAAGATGTAACCCTCTTTTCAATTCTTTTTGCTTGTAAGACAATCCCCAGGGAGAATTTCAAATAACAGTAGTGAGAATATCTGGGAAGGCAAAAACATTTTATAAACCATTAGGCATTTTAAGGCACTAGGGCTGTAGCAGCAAAGTTAGTATTGACCAATTGAAAAATGGAGTATACTTGTGTTTTTATGGGGGTACATAATCCAAATGCACTGGTTTGTAGAACTCTCATTTGCTGTTACATCCTTGTTGAACATGCCTCTGTCTTCAGGATTGCCTGGGTAATATAACTTATTAGAAAAGAGCAAGCAAAGGCAGAATAGATGGCTATGCATCAACAGAGATTCACACTTGTGCAAGTCAGGTTTGGGGTGTCACAGGTTGAGGTAACTGGAGAAGATGCTGTCCTCAGGGGCTTCAGCAACTTTCCCAAGGGATGATGATAAATTTCATGCAGAACAGCATGTATGTGTTAATTTCATTTATACGTTGCTAAGTAGTAATTCAACAATCCACATGCAAAATGGACCCATTCTAATGTTCTTATGCCCATTCTTGGTTTTGTCTGCTCTGCTTATTTTACTTTTGATGCTATATGGTTATGTTGTAAAACAATTTTAGTTCTCTAGAGTCATTGCTGTACAGAGATCGTACTGCATGTGGCTTCGGAGTACTTTAAAAACTTTCATTCATCTGTAGTTATTTTTAGGTTTTTTGTTACTTTGTTATTTATTTAAGCATATATAAACAGAAGATAAGAAAGCAAGCTGAGAACTAAAAGTTTCAAAAGCATTTTTAGATGAAAGTCATTTAAAACTTGATTCATCCCTGTATAACAGAGATTTCATAAACAATTAAATTATAAACTTTATATTTAGTCCTTTGAGGAAGATTGAGGGTGGGGCTGTTTTGCTTTGTGTTTACAAAAGCTTACCTTGGCCAAATTTCCATGTAGTTCCACAGGAATGGCAAAAGGCACATCTTTTATGTAAACACTGTCTTCAAACAGATGTGGCATTCATCTTAAAGCATTGTCAGTACTGTTTCCAAAGTAGCCCCGAAAGTTTCTGTAGTATTCATATTCTCTAAATGACTAAGATCTTTAGTTTTCTCCAAAGCTGCCATACTGCGAAGAAGTCTTCCTAGGCTGTAAAAGCTTGCCAAATGTTTAATAACTGAAAATACCACTATTGGATGCTACCACCTGCTGATCTTGCTTATGCTAAATAAAATAGTGTGAGTAGAACAAAATGGGTGCTATAACTTAGTCTTGGAAATAATAAAATTCATATTGTTCCGTAGTGCTGCTGGAGGTGAAATCTTTGACCAGTGTGTGGCTGAAAGAGAGGAAGCCTTCAAAGAAAAAGATGTTAAACGACTTATGAAGCAGATCTTGGAAGGAGTTTCATTCTTGCACAGAAACAATGTGGTTCATCTTGACTTAAAGGTAAGATTGTTGCTGTGTTTTTCTCATGTGTTCATTAATTGCTGACACCCTTCTTGGTCGTATGTCATAATGTTAATTGGTAATTAACATAATTTTTATCTTACCTATTCATTGAATGATCAAATCCTGCCTTTAGGATGCTGTAAGTACTAGGGTTGCAAGCCTTTTGGGGAGTTTCTATGATTATGTCAAATACAAACAACTTGACGGAGTGAAATGTAATAAATTCAAAAGCAGGTTTTCATTGCACCTTAAATTGTGAATGAGTACTTGGGTTAAGACTTGACTTATTTTTGAAGTGTAATAAAAATGTCTGAGTATTGTATGGCCATTGAAAAATAAGTTTGCTCTTTGAAGCAGAAGGATGGCGGAGACGCTAGTAGTATAAAGTGTAATGTTTCCAAAGGGTTCATACAGGACTGGTAAACAGTATATTAATGTGTTAAATATAGTAACATTTTTGTTGCTGTTTAAATTACTGTAAAACTTCATTTAAATATTTGTCACTTACTGACAAACAGTTGTCCCACACCTTATTGGTATATCAGTTATCGTGATTCACTGGCATAAATATTTTTTTTTCTTGCTGAAAACTAGTTTTGGTCCAAATCAAGAGAAAAGGACAGTTGCCATTGTAAGAAATCCAGGGTATTGCTTATGGTTAAGAAGGGAGTTTTAACAGGGATCCAGAAAACTACCATCTCCTATTGGTGGCAAGCTACAATGGATTTTCTTTATCTTCCATCCATATGCTCATATGGAAGGTGCAATTTTATCTCATTTTGAGGTTGAGCTACTTTATTAGTACTAAGCAAGGCACTATAAAAAGTATCTCACATTAAAATTTTTGAATTCTTTTTACATGTCCAATTCCCATATTTCCTAAGTATGTAGTAAGCTGCAATGTGTTTCTTCTGCTCTATTGCTGAGATCCTTATTCATCCTTAATTGCTTACTCATACTTAATTGCATTTTGGCAGTAGTACAGAGCTACCAGTAGATTCCAGTATCAAGCTATACATAGTTAATATATAACCTATCACATCATGAACTATTCATCTGCTAAAGCAGCTGATGAGTAATATTTGCACAAAGATGTCACCTGCCTGGTTTTCTAACCATCTATTCAAATTATTTCTGTAATCCTTTAAAACTTTCTTTAGCCCATTGATTTAATCATACACATAGAATATTAATAATTGAACTAAATCAATGGAAAAATTTTAGCAAGTGATGTGGGAATAAGTATTCAGAAGGACTGAAAATGAGCAGTTAGAATTCCTTAAATATCCAGCACACTTATACAAGATACTCGCTGTCTCTACTATGGTTGGCCAAAAATATTTCTGTTGAATTACCTTGAGGCAAAGTGTGGGAAATGAAAGCATGTCTTTTGTGGACAGTATATATTCATACATGTTTGTAGTTAAAGTTGTGGTGTTCCTGAGCACTATCAGCTGGGTAGCTGTAATCAGAAATGCACTGACTATAGTACTTGCCTTAATGTCAAAAGTAGACTGGGGTCTGTAATCAACAACAGCTTGTGGACAGGTAGCTTTTTCAAAGTGCAGAAAAAGCTTACTTAAAAACTTTTTCCAACTGCTTAGAAAACTTATGTTGTAAAATCGAGCATCTTTGGTTCTCACTGAAAAATCCAGCATTGCTTTGCTGGTTTCTAAAACTTAATTAGCAGAGCAAACTGTCTAGTGTTTGAGTTTAATATGTTTATACATTACTGCAATGTGTTTTTAAAAAGTGGATCTTCATTGGAATCCTAACTGCAGTGTGATTACTTTCATGATATGTGAGACTATTGGCCTTTTGCAAAATAAGCTTTATGGAAGTCTTCAGAATATTGGCAAATAAAGATGATGGAAACTACAGGATTAAAAACCATGACTTGTGAAGATTGACCCACATGCCTTGCAAGACTTTAAAAGAAGGCCCATTTTTCAAGGAACTCAAAAATTGAAGTGGGGTACTGGTTTTGGCTGCGTGTTTATTAACCCACTGCCCTCAAACCATCTTCTGTTGTATAGTATGGCTCGTGCTGCTTTACCTGGTGGCTTACTGCGCTCTGGAAAGGTCCATCTAATTTTCCATATGTTGCACCTTCAAAAAAAGTCAAGCTCTATGCCCAGAAGATTTGAAGTCAAAGGGTTGTCAGTATGTGATTGTCAGCTCCTTGTTGTAGTTTTATATTATAAATTTAATCAACCAAATCTATGACACTGACAGCTAGCTACCTTTAGCTTCTGTCTGCCCCCTTTACAGATGCAAGATTTTTCCTATGAAAATAAACATTGTAGGAAAAAGGGAGTATTTCAGTGTGGTTTAGCAGGGTTGCCACCTGATCACTGCTTTCCAAAGGCATGGTTCTCCTGAAAGATGGCTGAAACATGGCATGTTTTTAATAGCAAAATGCAATCATGTAATCCAGTTTTGAGAGAGAGCAAATATAATGCTACGGAGTGCAAATTAAGTATCACTTGACAGTATTGTGTTGATGCTATTTAATTTTCAGGGTGTGAGTAGATTGTAGTCAGGAGTCTTTCATCTCCTCTTAATGGTGCATAAAAGCTGCAGAGTAAGAGATGACTCCTTTCTCTGTTTTCATTCGCTGTTTGACTTGATCTTGAATTGGTGTTTGGTAAAAACTTAAAGTAGTTAGGAATGGAAGAGAATTGTAAAAGGTGTGGGGGTTGAGGAAAGACTAGCTGCCTCTTGTATACAGTGGAGATAGGTAAAGAGCCTCCAAGCAGCACTTTAAAATTCCAATATTTCAAGGCAAAAGAACAGTTTAATCTAGAGTTTAAGCCTTTATAGCAATTAGAGCAAAGCTGGTGTTTAATAGGCAGGTATAGAGTATCCAGGTTCTATAGGACCTATTTTGATTATAGCCTTATTTCTTAATTTGAGACTTGCATCACTTATTTTGGGGAATAAAGTGTGATGCCAGTCTAATATGCCTACTCTTTTAGTAACTGTTGCATTTTTTTTCCACTTATACACACTGACTAAAGCAACTCAACCCCCAAGCAAATTCTGCTTTTCCATTTCAACTGCTTAAAGATATGGGAGTCCTTCCATGTTTTTTAGGGCAGACTGATCAGTCTGCATTAGTATCTTAAAACACCATGTAGCTGGGGTATCCCAGATAGTCTGTTTTTCCGGTTTCTGCCCATTATTCCTTGGATAACTCCTCTCTTGTCTTCTAGGGATCTGATTTTTATTTTTTTATCATATGATAAAATTAGATACCTAACTTAATGTTACAGGTTAAGATGAGGCATTAGTTTAAAAACATGACCTTAGTCATACTCTTCTTGAAACTAACTAAAGATACAAGAAATATTAGGGCCAAATGTTCAAAAACTTCTGGAATAATGGCAAGTTTGCAGTATACAGATTTTGCCATCATATAGTCAGCTTGCAAGATTCCACAACTTGCTGGCAAGGTAGGGTTGAAGTTCATAGTGTCAAGAAAGCTCTGCTCTTTTTATGTGACAGTGGCTCAGTCCAATTGAAGTGAAAAATATGACTAGTTAATATTTGCATTGAAAAATGATGCTTTTCACTGCTACTAGTCTAACATGAAGATACAGGTATAACCAACATCTCAAATTCCTAAAGCCCAAGTTTCTGATTGTATTTTTCCAGGCATACTGTCAGCAACTTTTTTATTGTTTTTATAATCTTTCCAAGGGTACTTGTTTCTGGCTGTGCTGATGTGACATTGGGCTAGGCTCAGGTGGTTTTTTTCAGCGCACAACATAAGAGGATCTAAATTGGAACCTTTAAACCTTACTGCAGTAGAGGGGGAGGTTTTTAAATGTTGCCATTGGACAGTTTTAGCCATTTAATTACTGTTTGATGGCAATAGTGAAAGGCCCTCTTTAGGGTGGCTGCCAGGAGAGCCCTCTGGCCTGCATCTCTCTTGCCTTTGTGGGCTAATCAGCATTAGGCAAATGTAGAAGTATTATAGCAGTGGAAAAACAAAAGAGAAACCACTTTGCAGAAGCAGGAAAATTATTTTCCTTTTCTTAAAGCTTTAGAGTAATTGTGTCAAGCTGAAAACTACAGCAAGTTCAAAGCCAGAGAAGAAAATGGTGACTGATATTTCAGTATGAATTGACGTAGGGTTAGGACTCAATTCGTACTGCAGACAAGTTTTTTCTGCATAGGTATGTTTAGAGTAATAAGATTGGTTTTTTAAAATTACAATAAACTTGTAGCAACTACATTATCTACTAAAATATTGTAATACAGAGCTTAAGGGATTAATGAAATGTTTCCACTAAAAACTGTTCCTCATTTAAATACAGAGAACAAATGCTTTTCTCATGCTTTCTATTTGCCTCTTCAGAAAGTAACTAAATTTCCCACTGGGAAGAACATCTGAGAGGCTAATTAGGGAGGCATGGTCAGCTTTTTTTGGATGTTTGCTTTTCTAATACAAATACAGAATAACAAATGTGAACTATAAAGCATATGGTAACGCACAGCTCCAAAAGCCTTTGTACGGCCACCAGATCCCAGTTTGTAAACAAAAAAATTAAGCTGTTCTTAATGCATAGATTTACAAACAGAAAATAGATTGACAGCATCATGGAGCTAGTTTGAAATACCATGGTTTAACTTTGCAGGAATGAAAGAACTTGACTATATTTAGGTCTTGCAGCAAGGAGAACTGGCCCAAAGTTTTTAAAATGTTCTTGCAGTTTTATTTCCGCACTCAAAAGCGAGACTGTTCATGTGAAAGCATGCCTTCATGATTAACGAGGGGATGAAGAGAGAATGGCTCAGTGATGAGAAAAAAAGTATAAACGTTGATGTTAATCCAGTTGGATTATCAGTCAGTGGTTGCTTTAGTGTTCTTGCTCTTTGCTCTCCTCCATTTTCAACCACCCTGATGAAAGATGATCCAGGTTCTCAATAAAGAAAGACTTCATCATTTTCATGGAACTTGTGCTCACCAGAGACATTAATGTAATGTCAGCTGTTGGTGTTCCCATTCAGAGCAGGCAATGATGGAACCCTATGTGACCATTGGCCTGGAGGCAGGGAGGGTCACACTTTTTTTTTTTTTTTGCAAGGATATGCTTCAGTTGCAAAAAAAACCAAAACAAACACTGAGTCCTATTGTCTGAAGTTAGTTTTCAGATTTTTTTTTTTAACTGAGCTAGCATTTAAAATAGATGGTAAGGAACTTCTTAATGACCACAAAGCTGCTTTGAAGGATGACAGCCAAGATCTAGTGACGTCAGAGCAAACAAGTTTATCCAAAGGTGATGCTCTTAAAAACCTGTTTTTCAGGCTGCTGTATTTTTTTTTAACTGTTCTTCAGTTAGTATTCTGTAATACAATTGTTTGTACTTTGAACAAGATTGAGGTCGGTTGCAACAGACTTTCTTTAAACAGGTGTAGTCAAAATAGCTTTGTGTGCTCAGGCTTTTGAAAATTATTGGGTGTTTTTGAACACCGTTCAACAGGAGGTATTTTACACCACCTACTGGAAGGAAGCAAGGAGGGAAGGGGAGTTTAAAAGGTGATGGAAGGACTAAAGGTACAAATGTGGAGGTATTTATATGTTATTGTTAAATGATAGCTACTAGCATGTCTTTTGTATGTGTTCTAAGCTAAGTTTGATTCTCGGTTATAACCAGAAGATCTTACCAGTCCTTTTAGCCTACATGTCTCTTCAAGTTCACGTTGGAGCACAGGGGTGGAGGGAGATCCTGGGTGTTGTACTTGTATTGGAATGAATTATTGCTACTCATGATCTAAAACAATTATGCAAAATGATGGTGTAACAGACATTCTATTTGTGTGATCCTGAAAGTCCCCTTTTGTTTTTCAGCCCCAAAATATTCTACTAACCAGTAAGTCCCCTCTGGGAGACATTAAGATAGTAGATTTTGGCCTTTCAAGAATAATGAAGAGCAGTGAGGAACTACGAGAAATTATGGGAACTCCAGAATATGTAGGTAAGTCGTTACTGTGAGTGCTGTAGCCCTGAGGAGGGGACTGTCCACGCTTTGAGGGGGTGAAAAGAGAAACTGTCTCAGTTTGGTGAATGCCAGTCTGGCTGTGTAGTTCCTGTGTTGAAAGATCAGTTTATTACTTGGATACAGTAGTGCTAGAAAAGCTGCAACTGGTGAGCTCTGCCAGTGTAATGAGTGCTAATTGTGTGCTTGTGTTGAAGATGAGTACACACTTCCAATGATTCTCACCAGCAGTGAGAACAAGTATTACTTGGATTAAAGTTCAGGACCATATATTCAGTCTCTGAATATAATATTTTAGATTGTGGAGATTTGTATCTATTTCATTCTTTTAAAAGCAAATCATTCCACACCTTGAAAATGTACTTGAAAATATCTTTAAGTTGTATAGTATGTCTTTATGGGTATGGGTTTCAGTGCTGGGATACGGAATGTTGAACATTTCTAATTTTTCTGTAAGAAATTTGTATACTGCTTCTGAGAAGGAGATTAGCCTGACTTCTGAAGAGCACAATAAAAGGAAAACAATTTGTTTTACTTAAACAATGAATGATAGTAATCACTTAAGTAACTTGAATAGAATTCTCTGTTTCAAAAGTGTTATGTTTCAAATTACTTTTATCACATGCCCATTATTGCACTATATAACTCCAATGTAATGTCTGCATATGACCAAAAAATAGAACTTGCTTTCTTTTTCCCTCAATAGCTCCTGAAATTCTGAGTTATGACCCAATTAGTACAGCAACCGACATGTGGTAAGTTGAACAAATTAATGGTCATAATAACTTACTTTACTCAAAGTATTTTTTAAAAAAAAGCCAACCCCTAAAAAACTGCTTTTCTTTTTTTTACTTTTAATTTAGGAGCATTGGAGTACTGGCATATGTTATGTTAACAGGGATATCACCTTTCTTAGGGGATGATAAACAAGAAACATTCTTAAATATATCTCAAATGAACGTAAGTTACTCTGGAGAAGACTTTGACCTCATATCAGAGTCTGCTGTGGATTTCATCAAAACTCTGCTGGTTAAGAAACCCGAGTAAGTAAAAGACACAGTTGTATATGCTAATATGTCTGACTGGATTCGGTTTAAATGGAGCAAGTGCTGGCATCTTCATTTTTAAAGTATAAGGGAACTTTGATTATTCATATTTCATTGTGCTATTGCTTTCCATGTACATTTCAGAAAACTGTATGAATTGTAGCCTGTGGTACAGTATACTGACTTCTTTTACACGTGTCTTGCTGGTGTCTTTTAAATGAACTGTGCTCTGAGCCTTTTATTCTTGAGGAGTGGGTGGAGTACTTTACTCTTTTCTGGTTCCTTAGTATGCTTTTCTCAATAAGCAGCAAATTGGAAAATCCAGGTCTCAAAGCAGAAGAGATGTTTTCTGTGTGTGGAACTTCACCAGTTCTTCATGGGGCACGTCAGCTATTCAAATTGCCTACTGCTGGCCTATAGGAATACTTTTAACAATGTAAGAATTGGATAATTTTCCTATATTGAAAAAAGATCTATATGAACTTTGCAATTTGGTTGGCAACATGGGAGTGTAAACTGTGATATTTAAGCACCTATCAACTCCTTTTATTGTAAATGTTAGCAGTTCATCTCCTTGAGCTGCTGTTGGTCTTTTCTGGTACAAGGTAGCTATCAGCATTCTTAAGTTCTATCAGTCAGTCTTTAATACAGTCATATCCTTGGAATAATTTGTATTGATCTCTTCTGCAAGGTACTGGACTTCAAATTCATTTGGATGTTTATTTTAACAATTTTCCTTCCTTTCCAGGGACCGGGCAACTGCTGAAGAATGTCTTCAACATCCGTGGTTAGAACAAAGCAATAATCCTGCTTGCAGGGCCTGGAATAAGATTACAGGAGAGGAGACCGGTGGTGTCACCCAGAAAGATGCAGATTCTGCCTCTGAAAAATCAGTAGATGCTGAGAAAACTGAAGAGGAAGAATCAATAGTGACAGAAGAACTAATTGTAGTGGCTTCATACACACTGGGACAATGTAGGCAGTCAGAAAAAGAAAAAGTAACTGAGCAGAAAGCCATTTCCAAACGATTTAAATTTGAGGAACCATTGCTGCAAGAAATCCCAGGAGAGTTCATTTACTGAACTGTGTGGAGCTTCATAGCTGTAACCGGAAGGCAACATTTGCTACTAAAGTGAACCTGTGATATGCAGTAAATGTTCTAGAAAAAAGAAAATGTTGATAAGTGGCATCCAAGGAAAATGTGCCAAGTTTTTAATTTCATGGAACAGATAAATAAGATTTCAATTGGCTGACAGGAATTTAACAAATATAAAAGTTTATTTTTGTTTGTAATTTTTATTTCTGTTTGAGGGGGTTTTTTTTGTGGCTTGATAGCAGAGTTTTTGTTAATTGCTCCAGTGTTCTGGACAAGTTGATGTTGGAAGTGTTTCAGTGACAGATGTCAAGAGGAGTATTTTAGGATATGTTTTGGTATTTAATGCAAATATATAATGCTGGGTTTTCTTCACACACCTTTTAGCACTTCTGACTTCAGTGGAACTATCTACTGATCTAAAAATCGTATGAGAGGAGAATTTGATCAACTGGTTTGACATAGAGATTTCAAAGTTAATGCTGTGTATATATATTTTTTGTTTACGTCCAGTCAAAGCCCCAGGCTCATCTGGTGTATAGCCAAACAGTGAGCTGGAAGAGATGCACATGTCCCACAGGTGAGGAAATCTGTATTGGGAATGATTCCAGATCACAGTGGTGATACTTCTTTATTTGGGAGCACATTAAAATCCTACTCAAGCAGATGATGAATTTGCTTGTCAGTCACTCTTGAGAGCCAAGAGAGATCGCTCCCTTCCCCTCCTGTGCTGGGCAAGATGTGCTAATAGAATTCAGCTCAGTGTGACTGCACAGTGTTGAGTGGGGAAACAAGAATGACAAGAGGGGCTGATGTCGCTCTGCTGAAGTTACTGAAGTTCTCTCCACTGACTTCACCATGTTAGATCAGTTTGTCCAAGTAACAGTAAATCAGCCCTCAATTCCACCTCGCCCAGAACCCAGCTGGGGCTTTACTGGGAACATGAGGTCATTGCTGCCTTCTTTCTGTTCCTCTAACTGCTGCTTTAAGGAAGAAAGAAGCATCCTTAGGCTAAATTGCATAACCTTGTTTGATATAGCTGTCAGATGAGGAAGAAGATACAGCTTCCTCTGAAACAATGAAGCACAACTCATACCTCGTGCTTCCCAATCACTCTCCCTTAGACACTTGGAAAAACAGCATGTGTGTGATGGGGCAGAGGAGGATTAGGGAGCTGCATGGATGGGTCATAGTTCTCAGTGGACACGGTCCCTCCGAGGACAAAGCTGGGACCAACTGGGCATCAAGACTGAATAGTTTTTGCAATGTACAGGTCTGAGGATCTTGGACTGAGTCCTAGTTTTCTAAGAAATCTTTCATATTGATGTTGTTCCAAAGTTTAATTTTTATGTAATTGAAGTTTAGTACTATTATATTGCATACTGTTAACTATTCAACTATTTATTTGGTTTCCTTATGCTGTTCCTTTGTAATAAACCCTGACTAAAGTTTTCTTGCTATAAAGCAATGAATAGAAACTCTTAAACTAGTTTTTCCTTTTTTCCATGTTGCTACAGACTTTTCTAGTTTCAAATGTACCAAGAATCTTTTTACTCTTTTTTAGTGGACGGGAGTTCAGTGCTCTGTACTAATATTACAGTTCTTCCTTCACCCAAAAGGTAAACGGTGTATTAATAACACAAGTAGTGCTGGGGTGATGTGATTAGCATTGCTGTCACGGTGGGAGAAAAAGTGCTAGTAAAGAAGAAGAGTGACCCAAAAGCAGTGTGACACTGAGTGGGGCAATGAGCGTTTTGCCAGCAGGCTTCATTGCCAGGGGTCTGGTTGCCTTTACTTGAAGCCACATCAGAAAAATGGCACTTCAATTGAACTGTTGTATCACGCTGCTTCTCCTATGCAATCACACACTGCAAATTGATGTAGGTAGGGCAACATCTTGCTCTTTGAAGACCCTTAATTAAGAGAACATCCAATAGTACTTGAATAATTGAGTTTGGGGGTGTGTTCTATTGTAATGCAGAGAGATGCCTTTCATACTCTTGAGAAATGAGTCATTTGCTGGTTTTCCCTCCTGTGGACAGTAACCTACAGATTTATACTGAGAAGCTACCATGTAGGATTTTCCTGGATAGCTGTGGCTGGCCAGTAGTAGAAGTTAAACAGGAATCTTTGAGCCAACAGAATAATTCTGTTATCTGGGCATTTCTGGAGGTGGATGGCAGCTGCATTACTGCATACTTGCTGGACTCTACCTACAGTGCTGATCTGTTACTTTTTAAGTATGACAGTACTCCTCATGGGCATCTTTCTTTTACTGTTTGGTCATTTGCTCAAGGCAATGTGCTTGGGGGGGAACATTAACTTGTGAATTTCTTTCATACAAGATTACAATTTCTCCTAGCTTCAGTTACTGCCATTTTGACTTTTTTTTCCACATACATACTTCCTTGCTTCTATGAAGTTGAGCAAAGCACCGAGGTTGAAGCATGCTCACATCCCACCCTTCCAAAACAATGTTGCCGTACCTGCGTACCTAAATGTGCAGTATCTGATGGTTGCTGAGAGCAAATCATTTGAGGGACCTGTACCTGTTTGTAACCACAGATCATGTCTCAGATGGGGACTGGTACTAATGAAGAAGTGTAGATGCTGAGCAGCATATATTTTATCTTATATCTACTGGTTTTAATATATAACAATGAAGCTTAACATGTATAAATGAACTATATGCATATCACAAGGCCAGGTTCTCTTAAATTGGCTGCTTTGAGCCTTCAGGCGGGCTGCATTTCTATTTAACTTTTTGTGCCTTAAGGTGGCTTTGTACAGTGTTTTTTAACATCGGTAAGAATTCGTATAAAGTTGTCGAAGTTTAATAGCATAAGTTATAAACAAGGCATCTGAGATTGGCCCTGTAATGGGAAGAATTTTCTGTAACATTTCACTGCTGGACTATCAGCCAGTCCCACACACACTTGAAGCTATTTCTCTTCCACTGCAAGTGTGGGTAATGCTGTAAGGAGGTGTTCTTTCCCTGTGCTGTAGAAAGGGGCGTTCGAAGTTCATGTTTTTGAGAGGCTTAGTTACTAGTGAAGTAACACATTAAGACTAGGAACAAATCACCAGCTTGTAAAGAAGAGCTGGTTTTCTGCAGCTCCTTCAATACAGAGGACTGCACATACATACACAGTTCCTCGGAGAAAGGCCATTTATGCCTTACAGTGTTTGTGGGGAAGGGGGTGGTTGCGGAGAAGGAATCAACTCCTTGGCCCTTGTGGGTGATGCTAGCTCAGTCCCTGCTCTCCACACTGGACACCTGCTGGGTGCCTTCCTCATGCTGGGAGCGTGGCTGCTCCTTGCTTGAAGGCAGGAAGCTGAAAGGAATTGGGAGTGCAAGATGTTGTTAGAAATTGCTAGAGAATTGTTATTTCTGTGGTTCTGATGTACGAGATGTGAATGATACCTACCTCTGCGGTAGGTCCAGGCCTCTGCAGTTGTTGAAATAAACAGCAAATATCTAATGGAAAGCAAAGCCTTGTCTCCTCTTGTTTCATTGCTATGCTCACCTCTTTAAGAAGAGGCTATAGATTTACAGTCATTAAACTAAAATTTCCATAAAATAATCCTTTTATTGCATTGTGATTGGTTTCATTTCTTATGCTTTTGAGCTGAGGATCCCTAAATACAAAAGGGTGAATTTCCGCTTGCGATCTACCAGGTGGACTTAGGGAGCTGTTAGGTGGGAAGCACAAATAACATCATCTGCCCATTCTCCCCTGGTGGTGCTGGCAGGGGACAGGGAGGAAGGGGGGCCTTGCACCAAGTTAGTCCATGGCTTAAGAGCTCTTGAATATTCCAGGTGCTGCTTCTGGAAGACAGTTCAACATTTTAAAGAAACAGTGCCAGTTCACTGTACTTCTGACAAGTTGTTTACTGTTTCAGTAACTTTACAATAAATTTTGTTTTCTGAACAGCTGATGGGTCTTTTTTTCTCCATGCAAAATATTTTAAAATCTAATAATTAAAAAAAAAAAAAAACCACAATCTTTCTTCAAGACAGCATTACTGATTTGAAAAAAATAATTCCAAAAGTGATACTGGTTTGCCTGGTGCAGAATGAGTGGGTGTGGACTAGAATTAATATTAAAACTAAAGCACAGTGCTGCATTACGGGTGGCAGCAACTTCCCTGCTTCTGTGGTTGGTGACTGTACAGCTTCACGCTTGGCTTTGAATAACAGCGAGAAATACATTGCTGAAACCAGACTGTCACACACTACATAGTCTCCTGTTCAAATGCCCTTGCTTTTCTCCAAGAACTTCTCTGAAGGTTTTTTCCTTGACACCCATGTAGCAGGATTGCTGATACTTTAGTTTTCTGAATTATGCATGTGTTCAATTGATATTTGCCGCACAAAGTGCACCGATAACGTTTTCTACTCTGAAGCAATGTGTTTGCATTGTGGAGATCTTCACAACACAGCATTTACAGATGTTGAATTAAGCTGTCCTTGGGATTAATAAATATAGTCACATTTTGGGGTTTTTTTGGTGTATACTAAACCTAGAAATAGATTACTGTTCAATTTAGGACTATTTCAGACATCTGACAGGTAGGAAATTACCTGCCTGAAGATGTGGGGTTGGAAAGATGGTATTTAAATGCCCAGGAAGGGTGTGCTCTTTAGGACAGTGGTGTAGCCAGGGCAGGGTGGAGCTGATGCAAATCAGTAGTAATCCAGGTTTAACAAATCATCCTGAAACGCGTGCTCTGAAGCAGTGGAACTTTAATATCCATTCCAAGGTGCACTGTGTCCAGAACTTTATTTGCCTGATGTGAATTCCTGTGGGGAATGTCAGAGCACTGACTTGCTGCTGGGTGAGAAAAATACTTCCTCTTCTATGGAAAGGCATTTCCTCTTCTAACACTGCTTAATTGCATTTAATTGTTCCTGTTGTAAGACAGCTGACAAGTGTATATAGCTCTGTAAAAGTAAAATATTTTGGTTTCATAAAAATACAACCTGGAAGCTTTATAAAACAGAAGAATTAAGTCCATATTGGGTGGGATAAAATCTTTCTTAATTAAGAAAAGGTGAGGATTTGTCAAAGTGAAGCAGAGTGTTACGACCACAACGGTTAGGACAAAATTAGGGGACAGAGAACTTAACTACTGGAAGTTATTATCTATTTCCTGTAAACAACAGAACTTAATTGTACTGAGTCCTTGCTTGCTGGTGCAGAATCACACCTAAGCTGGCGATGCACTGAAATTGGTGTACCTCAGCTCTTCGATTAATTTGTAAGGCTGTCTCACAGAAGTTACAGAATAAAGGTGCTTCCTTCTCAAACTTCTGGGAAAGC